AAGGCACAAAACCACACCCTGTATTCCGGAAGGACGCAGAAATCATCGCATAAGTCTTGATCAACAACACGCAGCCAGGTGGCGCTGCATGTGTACCAATCAAGGCAAAGAGCACGACGCCTACGCAAATTGTGCTGCTGGTGCTCCAAAGCATTCACAACACGTTCATTCCTCGCAAGTATAAAAACAGTTTCATCATCTGCAGTTTCCACGTTCAAGGTGTACTTGTGTTTTCCAGTACACAACAGTCAGCCTCGCCCACCAGAACTCCAGCACTTACCGGACTGCTGCCCTCTCCTGTGAAGCTATAGTGTGTTTACGGAAACTTCCTGGGACATGGAACGATCTTCCCTTTTTGACAATGTTCACTTTTAAGCCATGCATGTTCAGTTTTTGTTTCTGTTTGTCTGATGCGACTTCTTTGAGGGGGAGGGGGAATACTGTGACGTAAGAAGGCAGGGATGGTTAGAAGTAGATGAGGAAGTGCTTTTGGAATAAACATGGCGTATGAGCCAGGCCACTTGTGCCATTAATCATAGCATCACACACACACACACACACACACACACACACACACACACGCACACACACACGCACACGCACACACACACACACACACACACACACACACACACACGTGCAATGAACAAGATTCGGGTGCACGCCAATGGCACTACCACTCTACCAACAGTGGTACTCAACGCGAACACAACGCCATCTATCGCCCAGCGGTCGTCACCCGAAATAGGGCCTTGGGGCAAGACACGTGTGCCACACGGCGCAGACAACTTTACAGGGGGGTGTCAGCACCTCCATAACGTGTACCCAAATCTGAGCACAACGGGCCTATATTCTCATGCATTTCTCTATTAACGGATTGATAGTATGAATATGGTCTATTGTGGAGCAGCTTGTACAAGATCCTGCTTGGTACTTTGGCTACTAGCAATTATTTTTATAAGCAGTTCATAGAAAATGAACAGTAAGTTGATCGGCCTGTAATTTTTCAATTCAAGTTCCTGACGTCTCTTTTCTTATAGATTAAGATGATGTTGGCATTCTTCCAATATTTTGGTACCCTTTCCATCAAGAGACACTTTGTATATAAGGTGCCCAGTTTTTTTAACACAATTTCTTCGCCATCATTCAGCAGATTCGTTGTTACCTTATCCTCACCAGCAGCATCTTTGCATTCTGTCTAGGCCTTCCTTTACTTCCCCTGTTGTTACTGGTAAGATGTCGAATTCCTCTGGGCTATATTGCTTTTTACGATATCTTGGCTGTATTGCTTTCTGTACATCTCTCCGTAGAACTCCTCTGCCACCTCAGCTATCCTATCCATATTGGTTAAGACATTGCCTTTTTTGTCTCTTAATGCGCACATCTGATTTTTCCCTACGCACAAGTTTGCCTTTGCAGCTTTTAGGCTCCTGCCGCTTTTTACAGCCTGCTCAAGTCTCTGCATGTTATACCTTCTGATGTCGGTTACCTTATGCCTATTGATTAACTAGTTCATATAATTCACCTTTGCCTGCTGATCTTTTTTCAATTCCTAAACGCAATACGCGACATGCTTCGAATGGTAATTTCGATCTGCCCAAATGTTTTAATGTTTACGGAGAAAGACTGATACAGTTTAATGGAACAAAAATATGGAACACGGTCCCCCTAGAAATTAAAACGGCATGTAATTTCAGCATGGCATGTAAATCATTTTTTCTGTGGAATCAAGACATGTAAGCATGTGTGTGTTTGATTCGATTTTCATTGTATTTTTTTAATAAGTGCCTATGTATAGAAACTAGCTGCAAGCTAATAAGTATGCATATCTGCAGGAAAAAATGTATTACTGTGTATCTGTATCATATGATTGTTTTTTTTTTTTGATGTTGTTACCTCAGAGCTAACCTGTACAGTTTTTTATGTTTGCACATTGTATTGGACCGTCCACTAGCCACTTTAGGCTATCGGTCCAAATAATCCTTGTAATTGCATATATCTATTCATGAAAATTAAGTTTCATTGATTGATTGATTGATTGATTGAACTTCGAAAGCTCCACTAGCTCTATTTCGTCGGTTGAATTTGAGGCTTTCATGGTTTGTCCTCTCTTATTGAGATTTTTTGTCTAGATAGTTTGCCAGTGTCCTGTCTAGTGATGATACCTCAGACTTCCATTGTGCATTTTTTGGTGGTATCAGTAAGATTATCACTCATTGTGTGAATGCTAATGTGGGTTACCTCGTTTAGAGCCTCGAATATATTCTAAAGTGAAACTCTGAAGTCCGGTACTTTCCCTCTCACTGCTAGTTGGTTAATTGGCTTCTTGCGTGTCAGTTTATGCCTTTGCTTTTTTAAATCTAGGTGAATACGAGCTCCTACCATTCTATGGTCACTGCATCAGATATTGCCAACTACTTCTACATTTTGTAGAATGCCTAGGTGTGCATGCAGAATGAAGTGCCTTTCATTTCATTTTTAGTTTTGCCATTACGACTTCGCCACGTCCACTCATGGTTAGCTTGTTTTCTGAAGAAGGTATTCATGATCTGTAAATTATTACGTTCTGCAAATTCTACGAATAACTCGCCTCTGGCATTTCTAGAGCTGATGCCATACTCCCACACTGCATGGTCTCCGGCCTGTTTCTTGCCTACTTTGGCATTGTAGTCGCCCAACAGAATAGTATACTGCGTCCTTACTTTATTAATGGCTGACTCTATGTCTTTATAGAAGATTTCAACCGAATGATCATCGGGTCGATGTAGGCACATAGACCTGTATCACCTTCATCTTGTACCTTTTGACAAACTTATGATACTTGCTTTACCATAGTTACTTGATTGCACCTCAAGGGGTGACTTTTTTTTTTCGATAAAAGAAAGAAGTTATGTCTGTATTTGATTGTAATGTGCGGGTCGATTTTAGGTAGCGAAAATCTGAAAAAACTTTGCAATACAATCGAACAAAGATGACACCAGCAACGAGTTCAAAGTGGCGTTAGGCGAAATGCCCCACAGATGTGGGCCACTGTGTTAAAAGCAGTCCAGAAATGGTTGGTGACTCCTACATTTTTCGAGAAACTCCTAAAAAATTGTCTGGTGACAAGAATAAAGTGCAAAAAACAGCATCTATGCAAAATAATTTATCTTTATGCATTGTTACGAGCATGCTGTGGCCCGCCGGCTGAAAGGCTCCCAGAGTCGTTTTGTTTCCTTCTGGTTGCCGTTTGCCTGGCTGTGCCTGGATGCTTCCTGCGTGGCGTTAGCCCTTGCGACCCAAGAAACTGTTGGAGCCTCTTTGTAGCAGCATTGTGTTGCTGTCGGCAACATGAAGACACTGTTGAAAGCGGATAATTTCAAACTATCTGAAGCGGTGCCGATCACCATGGGTTCTTGGGCAGCTCCTCCATCATCAAGCCGATGGTAAATTGGAGGCGTGCGAATTCTACGGGGGTTGAGCTCGTGGAGCCGATAGGCGACACATCTTGCTCTTCTGCAGCACAGGGGCAGGGCAGCGTTTTGTTAATGATCAGTAGGAAACAATCCGTAAACAGAGGTCTTGTGCTCGAGCCGACCTTTCGACAAGTGGTCTTCTTGAACGCTGGAACTAAATTCCTTAGTGCTGGTGTGTATGTGCTTCGTACCCTTACCTTCTAGGGTACACCATTGCTAAGGAAAAGCCTTGAGGAAGGCAAGGTCACTTGTCGGAAGATTGACTCTACACCTTTTATAGTTTTTTCAATCTTCTTCACCTTCCTGCTGTTTTTAGTTCTCATTAAAATGTCTTGACATAGCAACATAATCATAACCCATAGAATCACTGCGCTCATCATAAGTACAGTAACATTTGTATAAGGAAAAAAGTTACAGACCGAAGGTTATTTCAACTTAGCTAATTGAAAGTGCAGCGTACTTGGCATTAACATGGGGAAATAACGTTCATTTCAAGTTAGTCATGGCTATAAACACTACAGAATCTACATGATGGCAAGGCAGAAGAGATCACTGAGGGGCTGGGAAATACTCAGCGCACAAGAAAAAAAAGGGTGACATGGTGTGTCATCCCGTAACCTCCTGTGTATTTTGCACCCCCTCAGTTATCATTAATCAATACCAACTCGGCCCACTTTTTATTTTTTGGGCAAAGAGAGCGATGCCCGGACATCACTGGTGCTTATTGTTGCAGTGTTAGGCTGGGAAATTTATATGGGAAGGCTTCAAGTGCTGTCCGATTCAGATCTGTGTGTGCCAGCCAAAGAATAGGTGGGATCTTCTATATCAGTGCATACTTCTCGCAAGGCTTCATCATCATCGTCAGCCTGACTACGTCCACTGCAGGACAAAGGCCTCTCCCATGTTCCGCCAGTCAACTCGGTTCTGTGCTTGCTGCAGCCAATTTATACCCTCAAACTTCTTAATCTCATCTGCCCACCTAACCTTCTGTCTCCCCCTAACCCACTCGCCTTCTCTGGGAATCCAGTTAGTTACCCTCAATGACCAGCGATTATCCTGTCAATGCGCTACATGCCCGGCCCATCTTCATTCCCTCTTCTTGATTTCAACTATGATATCCTTAACCCTCGTTTGTTCCCTAATCCACTCTGCTCTCTTCTTGTCTCTTAAGGTTACACCTACCATTTTCCTGTCCATTGCTCGCTCCGTCAGCCTCAGTGAACCCTCCTTGTAAGTCTCCAGGTTTCTGCTCCTTTGCTAAGTACTGGAAAGATGCAACTGTTATATACCTTGCTCTTGAGGGATCGTGGCAATCTACCTGTAATGTTGCAAGATTTAAAATTACCCAAAAGAATTCAAGGCAGCTTCAAGCAAGTGAAGCATTGTACGATAACTTTTTTCACATTTATTCTCAATTTTTCTAGATACAGGCATGAAAACTTGTGCCAGTGATAACAAAAGAATTCACGGTCAAATAGCTCTAACGCTATTTCAGTTCTCAGGATCTGTAGTGTAATAGTAGCTTGCTTCTCCTTATTTTTGCAGGTGCCACTCTGACATCATGGAAAGTGGATGGTCAGGAGATGTTGTTCTTGAGGTAAGGAGATAGCGCTGTTGTATCTTTTTATGCTGACAGACATCTCTGTAATCTCTACCCGCCGCTGTGGTGCTCGAATGCTGACCCGCATGTCGTAGGATCGAATCCTGGCCCCATTCTTGATGGAGAAAGAAATGCTCGAGGCCTATGTGCACGTCAAAGAACACGAGGTCTCTCATAATCATATTGTAACGAACAAATACAACACCGGAAGCTAAAACAGCTATTTATTTATGGCAAACTTGTGCCCGTCAACTAAATACACAAAGGTTGTCCGGAGTTCGCTAGAGAAAACCTTGTCAACCTCTTTCTTTGCGTCTCGCCGCATGTCGCTCCTTCGAAAAACTGCCAGCCTTCTTTTTCTAACGCAAGGTGTGGTGACACGTGCAGCTAGCATTGCATGGCGCGTTTATAGCTTGGCGCGTTTGGCTTGTCAGTTGGTCTGGCAGAATTCATAGGAGCAGGAAGCGGCGCAAGACCTCAGTAGGTGCCTAACAACATGCGGCATTAGTCTCCCTCCCGAAACGCGTCGTCCTGATGCGTACGCTGACGTTGAACAGTTCTATACAGGAGTATTGATGTGATGCTTGAGCACATTTATCAGTTGTCTCGTTTAGTGCCTTTCGTAGTACGGTTTCATTTGTACTACATGTACGACTTTTGGGCAATTCCTGCGTCGGGTTGAGCACACTTGCCCTTCAGGAATTACTTCGTAGTTTAGCGTGCCTAACCGGCGAAGTACTTTGTGAGGGCTGAAGTAGCGCCGCATCAGTTTTTCTGATAGGCCAGGTGCGCGTACAGGAGTCCACACCCACACTTTGTCTCTGGGGTGGTACTGTACGTCTCTCCGCTTGAGATTATAGCGACTTGCGTCGAAGCTTTGTTGTAAAATGATACGATGTCTTGCCAATTGCCGTGCCTCTTCTGCCCTTTCTATGTAGTCACTCATGTGCAGGTCACTCTCATTTGAATCGTTGACAGGTAACATCGCGTCTAAGGTCGTTGTGACCGCCCGACCATAAATAAGTTGAAATGGCGTGAAGTGTGTCATTCCTTGTACTGCGGTATTGTACGCAAATGTAGCATAAGGCAAAATACAGTCCCATGTCTGGTACTCAATGTCCACATACATCGAGATCATGTCGGCGAGAGTTCTGTTGAGTCTTTCGGTTAATCCGTTTGTTTGCGGATGGTATGCTGTAGTACTTCTATGGTCGGTGTGGGTGAGCTTCATAACAGACTACATCAAACGGGCAGTAAATGCTGTTCCTTTGTCTGTAATGACAACCTGTAGTGTGCCATGTCGTAGTACAATCTGAGTGACGAAAAACTGGACTGCTTCGTTCGCCGTTCCTTTTGCGAGAGGTCATGTCTCAGCATATCGAGTCATGTAGTCTGTTGCTACAACAATCCAGTGCTTTCCCGATGAAGAGAGCGGAAATGGACCAAGCAAATCCATTCCCACTTGCTGAAATGGCCCTTTGATGGCTCTATCGGTTGCAACAGACCCGCTGGTTTCGATGGTGGTATTTTGCGTCTTTGGCAATCCCAACATGACTTAACATAATGGTGCACCGAATCCCTTAATTTCGGCCAATAATACTTCCGGCGAATTCTGGCCAAAGTGCGACTACCACCCATATGGCCAGCCGATGGGTCGTCATGACACACTTCTAAGATTTCTGCTTGCAGTGATGATGGTGCAAGAAGCAGGAACGTCTCACCGCTGTTTTCGAAGTTGCACTTGTATAGGACGTCGTTCCGGAGGACATAGGATGTTAATCCACGGACGAAAACTCATGGTACCTTAATTTGGTGACCCTCCAAGTATTGAATAAGCGGGCGTAGTTCCGGGTCCAGTCGCTGAAGACGAGCCATCTCCGACTCTTGTCCTTGTCCATGTCCTTGTATTTCCGAAAATGTAGTTTTTGAGAAATACAAGGACATGGTGAGCCAAATCGTGGAGCAGCATCCGGAGATTAAGAAGATTTTCACCACATTGGTGCTACCGAGGGCCCCAGACAGCAGACGCGCATGCCTCAACTGGCCCTTCGTCGTACGTTTCAACAGAGAAGCGGGCCGCTTCAACCACCTCCTTCGATCGCACTGTCATCAAAGCGGTACTCTCTTTTACATCGATCATGCCTTGGAATGGCTTCCACCTGGCCGGGTTCTGGCGGCTGATGGTATACACCCAAGTTTTTAGGGTCTTGCCCTCATCGCCAGCCACCCGAAATCCCTGCTTCTGTGAAATAAGGTGAGGTCGCCATCAACCTGGCTGGACCATGCACCATTACGTCTGCCGAGCCCACCGAGGGAACATTTTCCATCTCGGAACGTGTTCCCCAGCATCCGCGAAGCAAGCGGCAGCCAGAGCCGACGACCGTCAACACGAGCGCCGAGGGGTGCTTCTCATAGATCAAGGAGCAACAGTCCCTACAACGCGACTCGGGGCCACGCAGAGGCTGCTGGTGACAGTGCTTCTCCCCCACGCAGGAACTGACTCAACAACTTGTCAGGTACGACCCGCTCCAGCAGATGTTGGTCTCGTGATTTCATGGCCTTGAGAAAAAATGTTGATAAGCGCGTGAGGTTTGAAATGCATGCTTCAAACCTGGAAATATATATTTCTTCGGGATTCGCACCAAAGGGTCTCACTGTTCAGCTGTAACCCGCAATGAATAACTTCAACAAAAATGAGCAGCGGCAGTGGAGCAATATTTTAAAAGATGCATCTATTAGTCTTACGCAGGTCGTAATACAACACAGTACATATAGGGCGGCGGAACCTAAAGACGAACAGGCGTGGCTAAAATAGTCAAGCTTGACGCAGTTAGAAACTGAAGAGCTGGCCAAATATGAAGGAAAAATGAGATTGACAATTCAGAGCAAGAAAGACAAGAAATTGAAGCGAGACGCCGCGTGGCCGACTTAAAAATATTCCGCCAGCAATCCTCCCACAACGCATACAAATCAAACTGTAACCTTTCGTCAGTCTCCCCAAAATAGCACCGATGTCACCAATGTGGTCAACCTTTCCAAGAAATCTTTGACACCTGCGCAAACAAAGCTGCTATCAAAAGGTCTAACCTTCTGCCCCGCTTCTGACAAAATTGACGAGTTTAAACCTTACCAAGATTTAGACAATGTTGCCAGAACCATGCGTCTAGGAGAATATTTTCATGATTGAAGCAGCACGCAACAAAATAAATTTTCGGATAAATCTTGGACTCCAGGTGAACAACGAGACAAATATCTAGACATGTACATTTCAGTCGTCCAAGGTGATTAATCAGGGAATATGAAAAGCACCGACCCATACGCAACAATCTGTCCAAAGAGGAGCGGGAGGCATTGCGCAGTTTAAGTGACAGCCAGAGCATCATTATTAAACCAGCTGATAAGGGTGGTGCTATGGTTGTACTCAACAGGACTGACTATATCAAAGAAGGGCTTCGCCAACTGGCAGATGAAAATTTCTATAAAGAACTCCCTTGTGATCCGACAGAGGAGTATGAAAGTACTATTAAGGCCTCGCTAATATCATTACGTAAGTGTGGTAAGATAACGTATCCTATGCTTAAAATGATGTCACCTGGCAACTAGTCTCCCGGGCGCTTTTATTTACTACCCAAAATTCACAAGATTAACAATCCCGGCCGACCTATAGTTTCCAGCGACGGTACTGCTACTGAAAAAATCTCTAGTTTCATTGACTCTCTCATTAAGCACATCGCACAATCATTCCCATCATACATTAAAAATACCAGCCACTTCCTTTGAGAAGTCTCAAAACTTGTGGTACCTCTAGAATGCTATTTGGTCACCATGGATGTCTCATCATTGTACACAAACATTCCCCACACTGAAGGAATCGCCACCACAATTGCCGCCTATGGGAAAAGCAAATCGACGAGTGAGTTCGACGAAAGTGCTTTAGAGGTGCTTCTAAATCTTGTACTTAAACATGACAACTTTGAATTCGACCAAACACATTACCTTCAAGTAAACGGAACTGCCATGGGAACCAAAATGGCCCCAAATTGCGCAAATATTTTCATGACCTCTTTGGAGATTCCTTTCCTCAAATTTTCCATTCAAACCGATATTCTATCGACGCTTCCTCGATGATATATTCTTCGTGTGGGCTGATGGTGAACATAATTTTTCTAAACTCGTTTCCGATTTCAACTCCCTGCATCTTTCGATAACATTCACGCACACGTATTCGCAGAAGAGTGTTCACTTCCTGGATGTCGCTGTATCACTCTGTGGCACCACCATATCTACTTCCTTGTATAAAAAAACCAACAGACCACCAACAGTATCTACATTTCCACAGCGGTCATCTCCATCACTGCAAAGCAGGTGTCCCTTACTCTCAAGCACACAGATACAGAAGAATTTGCTCTGAAATCACGAAATTTGACACCCACGCACAGCAATTGAGAGCAGCCTTCTTACGCCAAAAGTACCCCGAAAAAATGGTTGACAATGCAATTGAGCGCACTCGCTCTTTGGAATGAGAATCAACAATGGGAGAAAAAAGCAGAAATAAAGATATAATTTCAGGGGCAAATTTAATCCTCACATACTGCGCCGCTGCCCCTCGGGTAAATTCTATACTAACCCGCCACTTCAACATACTTAAACAGAGTAGTCGCCTCTCTGCCGTTTTTCAGACTCCGCCCAAGGTGGTTTACCGAAGAAATAAAAACCTGAAAGACTTACTGGTCAGGGCGAAAACACACAAATCCGACCACCATCAGGGCTGTAGACCGTGCGGGAAACCTCGCTGCACGGTGTGCACACACATGGTGACCACAGACACGGCAGAAGCCTCCTGTTCAGACTATGTGTACAAAATTAAAGACGACCTTAACTGTGACTCAGCCAATGTGGTATACAAAATTCGCTGTGAGGTGTGCAAACAGGAATATATTGCACACACGGAAACTGCGTTCCATTTGTGTTTCAACAACCACAGGGCACACGTAAAG